CAGTAATTCCAAATTTACAGTTACCACAGGAGAAAAGCTGTGGTGACTGAAATGGGGCAAATTGCTTCATTGTATGAAAGTTTTCATTGGAGGCAGCACGAGAAGTTGTAAAATGTAAATCTCGTGCTCTCAGATTTCCCCGTGTTTTCACAGAATTGCATCTGTGACTGCGCAGCACTACAGAAATTTCCTGCGAATGTGCTAATAGGCCTTATGAGAATGTTCTATCACCATCCATCTGTCACTTTCTAACAGGCCTGATTGGCAAGCACTTGTAACAACTGACATCTGTTCTCGCTTATTGATATGTAGATTTATGGTAATTGCTGTGAACAATAAGACACAAAATTACCTAAGGTGAACATTAAATTAAATTTTCATGCCCCTATCCTTATAAATAATTTTTTTTTAAATCTTAAGTTTCTAGCAAGGCATACTGTGCATCTGTTTTGTACATAATTTAATTGTTTTTTTAATCTGCCAGATAACAAAATGAAAGTTGAATTTCCTTGCAATCTTGAATATTTGCCAAGCTGATAGCACGTTGGTAAATACATGTTATTAAAAATGGAATCAAACTGTATTGTGATTCTGGTTTTTTTAATCATTTCCCTTTTAATTCCCAACATCGTCTCCATCATGAAGATCAAGAGTTATTCCTTACCCAGTTCTTTTTTCCCCTTCAGGGGGATTTTCATGTTTCATGTGCAGCTCTGCCTATGAGGCTGTTCTTCAGCGTTCAGCAATTTGCATTTCTTCAGAGAGAGGTGCATTTGCTGAGTGAGCAGCACTTTCCAATAAAAACGATCTCCTTGTTTGCGGTCCAGCTCTATTGTGGGATTTGGGACTGTTATGAAAAAGCTGTAGGATGTGAGATGTGTGAAGACAGAGTGTGAAAGGGAGGAGAAAGAGAGAGCAGATCAGTCCCGCAGAACTGTACCTTGGCTGAAGTTCAACTGAACCAAAAATCCCCATTTGAAAGCAAAGTGCTTTCTGGGTCTGAGACTTGAGAGCATTTGGTTTCCTCCTCCAAGTTTGTCCTAGCAAGTGAGATGTTGATGCACTTGACAAGTTGATGGGAGAAACCAATAAAGAGGGAGCAGAGATGGTAAAATGCCTGGGGAACGTGAAACAGTGATGACAGGACTGATTTTTTGTATGTATGAACAGACCGAGGGTCCTAAAGAGGATGCATATTAAGTGATAAACCTGTTGACACAATCAGCTCTAGACCGTGCTGGATGACGGTGGGTGCCATGAGCCCATGCTGTCCGTCACGTTCGGGTGCTCAGTTCACCAGGGCTCTTCACTGTCCTTTGCATATGCGTGTGGGACAGCAGCAAGCCTTTTTTCTTCCTGAAGGCACTGAAGCTGACCCCCTACAACATCTGCAGAGATGGTTTGTGGCCAGTGTCTTCTAGTCACCTCTCCAGTAAAACAGGCTGGGTGGGGAGACAACTTTGTCACTGCTAGCTCTTGTTCCCTAATTTTTTTCTGGTGTTGAAACTCATACATCAAGTTGATGGGTTCATCTTGTGCTTCCACGGGAAACATCCCACTATTAAATAATTGTTTTTTGGGGATGAGGCAATGCTGGTGCTTCTTTTGCATCCACACAGGCGTGACGGTGCTGCACGAGCCCGGAGCGAGCAGTAGTTTGATGTGCTGCCTGTTGACCTTGCCTTGCCTGCTGTACCTTTCCTTGAGTGCTGCACAGTGAGCGTGTGCTGCCTTCCAGCTTCACAGCCCTCTGTGCTCGTTGCCTTCTTCAGCCTAGCATGCATGGACAAAGCCATGTGTACAAAATGCAATAGAAAAAGCACTATTGAATTGCTTCAAAATCCATTTGCGTCCAAACTGAGGTTTGGAGCCAAGTCCATGAATTTTCCAGAAGCATGTGGGATTTCCTCTAGGTGAAGCTATTTTGCGGTCTCTCCTCTAGTACCCTTCTGTATTTTTTGGCTATTATTTAATCCTCCCATGTATGCTGTGTAGAAGTCCAAAGTGGAAACCTCCCCACAGAAGAAATATAAGCTGATTATGACTGATCCTGCTGATGAATAGCTAACCAGCGGGTGACAGAAAACCATGCTGCCACGATGGAGAGCAACCCACAGCTTTCCCAAATCTCTGTTTCTGCACGGCACGAAATACGGCCTCAGTGATGACCAGCAATGTTTGCTGGACATTCTTTGCTGAATTACTTATACTTCTTATGAGAGAGGAAGGTAAAGTGGTATTTGAGGACCAAATATCAATCCAGGATGAAAATGGATTCCATATCTCATTTTGAGAACCACTGTCTGCTTTGTTTGCAACGAGCTGGACCCCAGCTTAAGTCTTTTCCATCCCTAAAAGGTTGTTTGCAATAATCTGCAGAATCTTATTGTAAAGAAAGAGGATTTTTTAACAAAAAAAAAATTTACACCTGAGGCAAGCTAGTAGGTCATCTGAGTAATTAAAAAAAGCAGTACAGCGCTTGCATATCTGAATTTCTATCTGAATGGTACTTTTTGACTGAAAAGTTCTCAAGCTAAACCAGCGATAGGATTTGAAAACTATTGCGAATTTCCTTACCATGTTTGGTTTCAGACACGTATTTGTTGATATGATATTGCTTCCAAAACTTTGTTTTAGACTGATAGTAAAAATAAAAGGTTTTTAAAGTATTCAGTCAACATTTTCTGCTTTAGAAGGTGACTTTGTTCAAGATCTGAGATGTTTTAAGCAATTTTATTCTATTCATTTGGGTATCCTATATCTAATCTTTAGTATTTATAGAATGTCCGTGTAATTAAGGTACAGTTTTGCTATTTCAGGTTATCTTTTCTATTTAAGTAACTAAACTTTGTGAGAGCTGGTTTAGAAGACTGACCAAATTGCAACAGTGACCCATGATCACTTTGTTGAGTGGTTACACCTGAGTGTCTAGGTATATAATGACTTATGACTAGGGTAATATTATTGCTCTTTGCAAAATAATTTGGATTGGTAGGGTTTGAGAAAAGCCGTATATTTTAAGATGGTCATTAGCCTTCAAAAGAAACCTGAAGGAATTTTTTTGGTTACGTAATTCCTCCAAGTGTGTTGTGCAGATTCCAGACTACAAAGCGGTGGACCTTGGATCAATTAAAACCTTACTCCTGACGTTGTCATTGTGTCACATTTTCAAAAGCACCAACATCTGAGCTGACTTTGAGCATCTGACTGAGGCCCAGAAGTGAGAACCTCATCCGTGCTAGGTGCTCACCTGAGACCTGACCTGCCTGTTGGACCAAGCTGTGTTTAAATTTGTGGGTTTTTTCATTAAAAAAACCCCACAACTTATATGTTGATATCAAGGTTGACCTCAGAGTTCCTAGTGCTGGGACAGCGAGAATACCTCTTTGTGGGGCTCGTTGATAGTACCAACCTGAGTCTGCAACATGTGTGTTTGAAAGTATTGTCTCTCTCCATTATTGCAGGAGTTTTCAATTCCAACAAAATACTCTCTGTCATTGCATTTTTTTTCTTCTCAAGCATACTTACAAAGTATTCTGTTTAACCTTTTTTTTTTCATCTTCTCCAAGTTGTTATTAAGTTCCCCTGGTTTGAGAAGTGAAGTGTGCAGGGAGAAGTAATATCTCTTGTTAGACAAACTTAACGTTCGGAAAAAATTGGACAAGTTGCCAGGCACTCAGTCTATTCTTTGGGTTTCTGCAAAACTCATGCAGCCTTCCCAGCTCTATCGCTTGGTTTAAAAAAGGTGCTGCTCTTCCTACCACCTAACCTTTTGTGTGTACTTATATTACCAGAACTGCAAGAACGTAATAAAACTCCTCTAGTATTTTGGTTTTATGCAGTTTGTCAATTCTGTTGAGGGCTCTAGCAGCATGCAGAGATCTCCCTCGTGTGCCCAAACCAAAAAGGATGATCTCCCACTGCCATGTCAACAATCTCTGTCACGTCCGTATGCAGACACCCAGCCTGATCATCGCCTCTGTGGACAATTGTATCTTATTCAGAGGATCCTGAGAAGGGTCCGGTCTGGTTAACGCCAGCACCTAACTTGTATCTGCATTTTAATCTCTTACTGAAGCAGTTCACCTTAAAGTGCCTAAATACTTTGTCTAGTCCAAGGTAAAAGGTAGGTACTTTGGAAGGCTCCTGGAGAGACAGATTCCTGTCCCTCTGATTTGAGTCAAATGAAGGCCATTCACTGTTCCTTAATCATCTTTTTTTCCGTTTCACGTAATTTCTATTTATTGTTTGTCCCTTTTGATTTGCCATGTAAATTAAAGCCTTTGCTATAGAAACACATGCATTTTTTGAAGGTCCTTGTTGAAATGCAGGTATCTCTCTCCCACATCTTCTAAAAAAATGAAGTGACAGATGACTGAGTAGACCTGATATTACAGTCCATAGCTTATGGCCTGAAAGTCCCTACCTCAGTGATGGCTCTGTGATCAGTCTGATACCAATTTTGATGTTCTTAGTTCAGATGTGTTTTTAGAAATGAACCATCGAAAGGAGAATCAGCACAATTATTGGCTACTGCACAGTGTAGCCTTAGCTGATGCATTCAGAGGGGACATGGGAAACAAACTGTAATCACCCCAATTACATGACCCTGTCCTGAATGTGTTTTAAACATTAGTTTCTTTACACCCCCTGTTGTGTCAGGAAATAGTATTGTGTCTGGGCTTCACATGGAGTTTAAATGACTTAATTCTACACTTCTCTCATAGAAGCGGCACAGACTAGGTTTAATTTTCGTGAACTATGGCCTGATGCCTTTGCTGTATTCTCTCAGCTCCAAGGCAGAGCGATGAGAGATGCTGTTAGGGGGCTGTATGAGGCGGTTCCCAGATTATAGATGTCTTGGGAATGAAAAGAAGAACTGAATCTCTTGGCAAGGTACATCCCAAGCTCCATGTCCATTGAAAATAGCTTTGTATCTGTCTATATATATAGATATAGATATAAGGTGTTTCAATTAACCGTATTGCTTCTTCACGCAGGCATGAACGCTTTACAATTACAGAATTTGGCGACTTTAGCAGCCGCAGCAGCCGCCGCCCAAACCTCAGCTACCACCACCAATGCAAATCCTCTCTCCACAACGACTGGTGCTCTGGGAGCCCTCACAAGTCCCGGTAAGAGCAGAGTGCTTGCTTTTGAAATACAGACCTGAGACTGAATGGGAAGGTGACAGTTAAAACAGTGATTCCACGTTGTGTCGAAGTTGTGTGCTCGTATAAATTCTGAAGACCCTGTTAATAGCTGAATACATTTTTGGTGCTGTTATTTTGAAGCAGATAACTCATTTCTCAGGTGGTCCAATGTGGGCATGTTCACCTTTCCAGGCTCGTTTCAGGGGCCATTAAAGCCTAATGGACCACTTTCAAAACTACATGAAAATGACAGTTGCATGGAAAACTTAAATTAAATTATGCTTTTCACAAAGAATTCAGAACACAAGCCAGTCCTTCCCATCCTACAGAAAGATCAGCTGAGGTGGTTCTTTTTAATCCCCGAGAGACCAGTCTTTGATTCCCAGTGCATTGTGCACATATTGCCTTTACCATTGATAAATTTTTTGTGAAGTCCTCTCTTTTTTTCCTTCTTTTTCTTGCTGTAGCCTCAGTTGAGCTTTCTTCTGGTCCTAACTGAGAATACAGTTACAGAAGTGATGTCAGATGCACAGGGAATACACAGCCAGATTCTGACTTCATTGCACTGAGCAGAAGACAGATTTATGAGGGAGTAAGGGACAGGATAAAAGGTGGTGGTGCCCTCATGACCAACATGTAGACTTTCAGCCACACATGTTCACTGTCTGCCAAACCGTAGAGAGAACTCAGGGCAAATCCAGAGTTCAGTAACACTTCAGCATCTCCAGAATCCGTGGAGAGAGATGCTGATTCGATGTAGTTACTCTGGATTTACAGTGATGTAGCTGAGTCAAGAATCCGGCCACTTATCTTTACATAAAGGCTGCAGGGTGTAATTATTTGCATCATGAAGTGTGTTTATTGCGGTTCTAAAAAACATTCATATTATTTTAGACACCACTAAAGAACATTTGTGTTTAATCTTGTTGGAGTGTGTATTTATTCCCCATGAAAAAGTAATTCATGGCAGACGGTTTGAGCTCATCAGTAAGGAAAACAGTCTTCACTGCACAATAGGGCTGGGACCGAGCGTGGCGCCGGGTGTTAAAGCTGGCCAACGCTTCCCGTTATGTTACGGTTTTATTGTTTGTTTGGGGCAGAGGTTAAATGGAAGGCAGCTTGGCTAATACTAAGCTTGGGCAGCATTTTCCTGTTTCTGGTGGGATCCTCGTCTCGACCTAAAAAGAACAGTCATTCGCAACATCTCTGACAAACAGGTTGGGTGAAAATAATTTTGGTTTGCTGATTTATTCTTTTTAAATCTGAATAATCTCTCCCCTCTGTCCTGGAGCTGGGGCTTAACGCTTTGCAAAAAGGCTCATCTCAGCATCAGTGTTTCTGCGGTGCTCCTGTCTAAATGTCACCCATTTGTAGGAGCGGAAACGTTGCATTTCATGCACGCTCTGCAATAACTCTGCAGTTGAGCTGTTCAATGGCTGGGCAGCCCGTCTTCCCAAAGCATGCTCAGCGTTTCTTCAGCCGTCCGTGAGGCTTCTCAGGGCAACTCAGTGTACTGTGCTGCGGTGCAAAGCGGCTCCAAACGAACTTCCCTGATCGTTGCTGCTCTGCAGCAAAGCAGCACCAGAACCTCGGGCAGCAGCAGCGTGTTTCTGTCGTGCTCTTTGTCTTGCCGTGTGAGCACAGAACTCAGATTCATCCTGAAGGTCCACATCTTCCTCTCTCTCTCTCCAGTGCAATCTTCTTATCCAGCATGGCTGACTTGCTCTTCCCTCTTTTAACCCGGTCTCAAGGCTCCTTGAGTACCCGGAAGGTGGTTTCATCTGATGTCCAAGTCTACAGAGGCACATGGTTAGAAAGGTGCTTCACCTAGGCTGGGCAGATACTTCTTTGGGATAACAAGAGCTTAGTATTGCTTAGGGTTGTACTATAGAGAAGATAGCAGGGTTTTTCCAAAGAGGTTGATGATTTCAGCTAACGTATTAAAGGTGTCTTATTTTCAAAAAATTCTGGACGTTTAGCCTTTGAAATAGTGTATTCAGAATGGCAATTGTTTTCGAAAGTGTTATCGATAGTAGCTGTACAAAACTGTTTCTAATATTAGACAACAGCGTGTCGAAGTCTTTATCTGATAGGTCATTTGACCTATTTATGTTGCACAACCAACCTAAAATCAAGCCTTGTTAAAATGTCCTTCAGTTTAACCTTTCTTATCTGGTTCCACATTCTCCACCCTATTGAATATTTTGTAAACTTGAATAATATCTTCAATGATTCTTCTCTGCTCTATGGAAAATGAATTTAGTTCGATAAAGCTTTTCATAGTAGCTCAAAGTATTTCCATTAAAACATGAAATACGTTGGCAGAAAACATTTAAATCTGCCTTTCAATGTGTGGATATTTGGAGGCCTTCAGGGTATTTTTTTGGTCTAGTTTTCTTTTAATAGAACACTTCAGTTTGTTGTGTTTCATAAGTGTCAATTATTTTGCCTGATTTCAAAGCCTGCACTAAGCCTAGGAAGAAATGTTTGTGTCTCTCCAGATAATGCATTAAGTTAATATTTCTCAGTTCAGAAAACTGCCCAGATTTAGGAGAGTGCAAAGGTACATGTTTAAATTTAATCCTGTTTTTGATGCTGTTAAAGCCAAAATACTGCAAGGAACAGGGATGGGCATAAGCATATACTTCTAATATGCCTTAAACCATTGCAGCCACATAAATGATATCTATGTTTCTACCCATATGTAACTGCATCTTTCCCGAAGATCTCTTCTGAATCAGTCTTTGACCAAGAGCTCTTGTTCCGTCCTTTGTAGACGTGTCATAAGAGCCTCAAAAGGTGGTTACTACAGTTACAATTCATCTTGCGACTGAATTTTTCGTACATAAGCTTGAGCAACCTTCAGTGCATCAAACTTTTACGGAGGGATGGTGGTCAGACCAACTTTGACGCATTGGCAGCACATTAAAACAGGCCGGGAAAAGAGGAACCAACAGGGCATCTGATATTTGAGGATGTCAAGTTTTGCTGCTGGCTTCTAATTGCAATATATTCAAAAAGAAGAGAAAAATACTCAGCATCTAATAGTGACTGTTCAATCTGTGTGAAACTCCTTCTTCGAGGTTCATACAATCACATATTTCCAAACAAATTAAACTCCAATGATCTTTCGTACATTCTTACTAAATAGCTTTGACCGCAAGAGAGACTAAGGACGCTCATTCTCCTCCGTGCGCTAAATACTTGCTCTTAAGCTTGAAACAGTATTCATTCAGAAAGAACAGAGACAATGCAATCCCCCAAACTATTAATTTTTTTATAATTGTAAATTTATAATTTCAATTTTGCATACCCATGGAAGTCTCTCCCTATAGCATTGTTAGAAATGATTTTTTAAAAGCCTTTGCTTAAAAAAACATGAAAGATTAAGCTTTCATTTTAGTAAAAATCCCCTCAGGCAAGAAATAGGTTCTTTTGTCTCTTGGCCCTGGAAAAAAATTAAAATGGTTTAAATTGCCCATGGTTAAAGTAACTGTTTCTTGCAATTATCAGATGGTGGTGAATAAAAATGAAAATGAAATCATGAAAGAATAAAAACCAGGTAAATGCATATTGTGTCTTTCATGAGTTCCTCACGGGTCTTTTGAAGACTTATTTAATCATCTTTCTTGTCTATTATTTTGATATGATAATTGTTTCCTTTATTTACTTTAATCACCTCTATTTAGTTAATTAATTCTTCACTTTCTTTGCGTTTCACTCACTTAGAATACTTTCCTGTTGTAAAGGCAGGTACCTGTTGTACTTCATAACGTAAGGATTTGGGCTGGTGTCGCTTTTACCTGGCCCCGGCTTGTCTGAACCAGTTTATCTCAACTTCCTTTTGACTGGGCCCAGTTTCTCCGTTTCGGCAGGGTGCCTCTCAGCGGAGTGGCAGGAACCTGGTCCTCTCCTCTACGGGCTGTCCTTGACACATCCTGCCCGTGGATCGACTAGCAGCAAGCTCGCAGGGAGCCTGCCGAGATGGACGGTTAATTCAGTCGGTGGTGGGACGGCCTGGAGGTGGCCATGCAGGAGGGTCATACAAGCTCAGGATCACAGTATCTGCCTCTAACACTGTCTGACATTTTGTTTGCCTCAGTTGACCCGCTACCCTAATTTTCCCGATGATAATAATGTTTATTCTGACTGTCCTGGGTGGTGCAAGGTTGATATGGCACTGTAAAATATTTCCTGATAGCAGGAGCAATGAAGCTCATGATCTTTTTGCAAACCGATGTTAAGCAACAGCAGAAAAATATTTTGTACTCACAGGAAGAATGTGGAAGTGGGGTTTTGGGCACCAGATTACTTTGTCATCTTGCCCTTCTCCATCACTGCATGGATTTTTGTTGTTTAATGCCATGAAGTTAGAGTCACAGAATCACATCAGTTGGTAGACACTTCCCAGGGTCTCTGCTCCAGACTCCTGCTCGCTGCAGGACCACTCAGAGCAAGTTGGTGAAAGCCGTGTCCAGTCAAGGTTTGAAGATCTCCAAGGCTGGAGCTTCCACAGCCTCTGTGAGCTCATTTCAGTTTTGATTCTTAAAATTCATGTATAAATGTTTTTTCAGTAGCCAGTCGGAAAGCCCTTCTATGTGCAAATGAAGAGACGAAACATCTAATTATACATCCAAATTTATCTGCATAAGCACACACAATATAACTTCTGAGCTGTGGGGGGACAGAATTGCTAAACCAGAAGATAATTCCATTTCAGACATAGGAGCCTTGATTTTCCAGGACATTTTCATGATTATTTCAGTCTCCAAACTATTATTTATTCACACAGCTGAACTAGCTGTTCATGCTTCAGTAAAAAAGCTCTTCATGTTTACCTGCTGTGTAAACCTAAGAAGAAATCTTTGTGCAAAAAAACACTGTCAGTGTAGAAAGACTTTTTTTCTTTAATGTCCTCTTAAAATCCAGCCTAGCTTTAGCTATATGATATCAGAATTCAGCCATTAACTCTTATGTTGAAA